CGCCATGCGATTACTTCACATTCGGTCTCTGCGCTTGGGCACTTGACGAAGGTCGTCCTTGTCGACAGAGCTTGAATGCACTGGGGTTGCATCAGAGCGACTTGGCGAATGTTTCCATTATGTAATCCGGATCCGGATAACTGAGCTAGAACAACGGCTTGGAGGAAATTTTCAAATTTTGCCGAGCACGATGGCGGCAATGCGAGCTCGAATGCGCAAGGAGATGGAGATGCTAGAGAATGACCCACCGCATGGTAAGCTCGACGGTACATTGATATGCAGTTGTACCAAAATAGAGTGTTCATAGGAATCTGTGCGTGGCCCAAGGACAATAAGCTGGATGAGCTTGAAGCTCGTAAGTATGACTGCCTTGACAACGTTGTGTTTGTCATTGATTCCCTTGTTGGTAGAGATTCAAGGACCCGAGGGAACTCCGTATGAGAAAGGCATATTCTTATTGAGTATATTGATTCCTGAACGGTATGTCGAAATGGCCTTCCGTCGACATCTAACAATTCTTATCCAGGTACCCCTTTGAGCCTCCGAAGGTCCAGTTCACCACGCCAATCTTCCATCCAAACATTGACAACGCTGGACGAATATGCTTAGACACGCTGAAGATGCAACCAAAGGTAGTTCACTCAATCTCCATGCACACACCACCGCAATACCATGCGGTAGGGGTCATGGATGCCTTCCGTGAACCTTTCAACACTCCTCACAACAATCCGTCTGCTCATGGCTGAGCCGAACCCAGACGATGGCCTCATGCCTGAAATTGTACGCTCTGCTATGCGTCTCGTACACTCACTTGATCTTTACAGACGGATCTCTACAAGCAAAACCACGCATTGTTCGTGTCGAAAGCTACTGCCATGACAGCACAGCACGCGACAACTTCGTCGACAAGGCAAGCTGCTGTACACAACGACAATGAGACGAAGGCAGCAGCTCCTGCATCGTCAATGCAGGCAGGGTCAGCGAGCAGTCAGAGCGAATTCAGCAGCAGCGAGAGCAGCCAGGATGAAGTGAGCGACGACGAGCTTGGTAGCGGGGCCGAGGACGACGAACGGCCTGCAAAGAGAGGTCGCTTGCTTTAGGTTTCGACCAGTTTGTTTGCCTGTGTCAAGGTCAGTTCTTTTTAATACCATCAATGGAGTCTAAAATGTCGAAAATCCAATCGAATTTTACCATATTTTCGATGTTTTTTTGCTGCTTAGCATAGCATGGCCATTTTCGTTGCATTCTTGCTGCTTCGCACCATCGGAGATGGATTTCGAGCAAGGTTTGGATGAAGTGGGTGGTGCCAAGTTTCACATGGAAGGATTCTTGGCGCTACAGAGATTGCACAGATGTGGGCTAAGCCGCTGGATGACACGCCTTTCTTTCGGGACTTTGGACGGCTAATCTCACGTGTACGTGTCGTGTACACTCACGCCGTGTGTGAAGACCGTCGAGGTGCGCGTCGTTCGTTCTGGTGGATGACATCGTCGTGCCTCATATAGACAACATCGACCCGACGAGCAGCAACCCCATTGCATCCATGATTGCTGTCTCAAAAGCAAGCTGCAACGACATCGTTGCCTCACTCACATCCACCATCTCGTTTACATCCTGTAGGCTGTGGCAGCCCATATATCCCCCAGCGACAGGATCGTAAAGCACTCCCTCATCTTTGCCGCTGTGTCATGTTGTGTTCTTGGTCAGAATTATGCGCTGGATGCGGTTCTCTCCACGACCGCGGACTGCGAGACTGCCGCACGGGCAATTGGTATTGTCCTCGGCGAGTCGTCTCCAACCATCTCGTTGCTCAAGCTCATCCATCAGGTTCACTCGTTATCGATCTGGACATTTTGAATCTTCATGCGCCATGCAAACCAGAATGTTGTGTTGGCGGGGCTGTGCCGCATCCACGCGTCGTCGTCGCCGTCGATTTTGCTCAAAGACGTGAGATCCCCCGATGGATGGCAGATTCACGTCGTGCTGGGCCCGTCGACATGCCAGTTGGTGCACATGCGAACAGAGCAGCCGGCGGACGCGTCCTTGCCACCGTGTGTTTCACTCTGGGCTGGTCTTGAAGATCACACGTCGTGGCGATAGATTCCGCGTGCAATGGGAAGTGCGGTGTGTGTTTTCCAGAGCGATCACAGAGCTCACGGTGTGCTTTTCAACCTCTGGCTACGATTTTCTTCTCATTCGTGGCATGTTATCCAGGCCGTGCGGCTGCGCATGACGTCGCTTGAGTTTGGCAAGGTCGGCGTGGACGCCACCGCGGCACACCGCGACGCCATTCGATCTCATTTTCTCGGCGGCGACCTCTTTCTTGCATGACAATTGTAACCCGAGTGCACCGTCGCGATTCCAATATAAGACGATGCAAGGCATGCAAATTTGTCTGGGTGCCCAATGCGATTGACAATGAACGTTCCTCACAGTGGCATTTGCCGAGGACAGCCCTTCGGAGCGACGCGTCCCAACACTCGCGCGGGTTCATCCGGTCAATCGGAAACTCTTAGTGTGGAAGCACCACTCTCCAAACCAAACACGCCTTGGCGCGGAATGTGGCGGTCGAATTCTTCTAGACACGTTCGTGTCACACCAAGACGGAGTTGAACAGAGAGTTCGAGAGTTAGCGCTCCGCACGGCCTGCGAAAGAGGGCGTGGAGAAGAGAAATGTGTGATGCGTTTGCATCTAGGGGTTCTTGACCACACTACGGCCACGACTTGGATCGTGCGACCACTCGGCTGTAGTATTCGATCACTTCCGCTGCTGCGAGTGGGGCATGTTGAACTAACCGTGTTGGAGGCATCTGCTCCAACGTGCTCGAACAATTCCACATGATATAGACGGTGTTTGTAGCACTGTTAGGTCGAAGGGTGAGCTCCGAATATTACATGGTCGACGCTTTGTACGTGCGGAAGAGGCGGTCCCAGAGACTGAATCGCTTAGCAAAGTTGACGCTGGGATGCGTGTGATGCAAGTCGTGGTCGTGAACGCGAATGCAAATGTTGAGGCACTGGACGAGAGGCATTTGGGGGAAGGACATGCCTTTGATGTCGAGGCCCGAGTGGCCAGCCACTTCGACGTACGTCTTGTACGCAAGGAGAAGATGCAACTGATGGAGCGACAAGGACGGTCCGACTGCAAATGCAATCGCCATGGGCACGACGTTGGTCAGGATGAGATCGATCGGTGCTTCTTCGTACGTGCTCAGTGGGGACGGGTGGAGGTGCAAATGGTGCTGTTTGTGGACCATTTTGTACAGGAGCGGAAATTGGTGGCATGTGTAGTGCATGGCAAAATGAAAAAAGTCAAACACGACCTCGAGGATGAGCGATTTCGGGATGAAGTACACAAACTCTTCCAGGACGCTCGTGTACATGGGGGTGTCCAAGGCGGTCGATGTCCCGACCCACAGCGTGACCATTTCGGTCGGCACGACGACGAGGAGAATGTGGCACAGAATCGAGACCTGTTGCGGCCGCGTCAGGACTATCCGTTTAGCGCCGTAGATCTTGTCTTTGAACGTCGAAATCCATTCGAACCAGCCGAGCATGCACGCGACGCGAAACACAATGCCAACGTAGTACCCGACGACGGGGTGCGGGATGCATGTCTGAAGGAGCAGGGCAATCGCGGTGACGGCGCAGATGAAGCTGTTGATGATCACGTAGAACTTGAGTCGGCGCAGCAGCCACAGAATGTTTTGCCCTTGAAAGCATGTCACCATCGTCATCGCGGTGACGGTAGGAATGCCAAATGACATCGTGTCGTCGCTGTGCTTTGAACCCAACGGAACCGCCAATCACATGCGAGAAAGTTCAACCAATCAGCGAGGAGGCCTTTCCACCAATCAGAAGCCGGGACACCCATCGATTGGCCAATCAGAACAGGGGACTGCTGCCACAGGCCGTGTCAAATTGCTGGCGCATCCAGGTGGCGGTGACGACGGCGGCCGATTGTGGGGAGGACCACGGAGCCGAGGGTCCCGGCGCCAGTGACCGACGTGGCAACGCCTAGCACGTTCATGTCCAGCAAACGGTCGAGATCGGCACCTGCGTGTGAGCTTCGGGAAAGGACGGTTTGAGGTAGAGTATGCAGATGCAAGTGTGCGAAAAACACGCTGATCATGGCAGCTCCTCGAAAAAGCTGCATCCAGTCCTCGACCAAATCCGGGCATACGGATTAATTGCCCAAGATAGGAGTGGATCGCTTTCTCGTCGGTGTCAGGACAATTCGTCGCGTGGTCGAGTGTGCCTCGAAAACTCACACGGTTCAAATGTCGTGGTTACTACTAGTACTACTAGTAGTTCCGACGATGATATGTGCTGTAAGTGTTGGACAAATAAGTACCCCTCGACAGCGAACTCATGGAAGAGCACATGGCAATGCCGCTAAGCCGTCACGGCCCTCTCGCTGCCACATTGTTGTCCATCTCCGGCCCGCAACTACAACGATGCCACAAGAGGCGGTCGTTGCCACCGACTATCATCCCGCGCTGTTGCTTGTGGCACGTGGAAGAAATGTCTACGGAAAGCTTTCATTACACGACTGCGATCGACGAGATGTCAGCTGTGTGCTTGGCGACGTCGCTCTGTTTATCTGACGTGGCTTCAACCTACACGGGGTTGATGGTGCCATATCGCGTCGACTCTGTCACTCTCACTTGAGTGGACGACGACGATTCCTTCGCCTTGAGCGTGGCAAAGAAGGCCGGTGTGATGATCCAGATAAGACACCCGACACAAAAGCCAGATATGACGTGGCCGCACACGATCGCAGGCATAGCACACACCCAGTCGGTCGTGTCATGCAGCGTCAAGGAAGGGATCATGACCGCCCAGAGGATGTACAGCGCGTAGAGCGGCAGGATCCCGCGCGCCACGATCCACAACCCATACGACGCAAACGACATACCCATGTGCACATGAGTGTGGGCATACCCGAGGTCTTCGAGAAACGTAGCGACGTTCATCGGGACGACGCAGATTTCCACGAGCAAGTATATGCTCAAGAGGTAGGTGTCGGCAAGGCAACTCCCAGAAAAGTTATAGATCACAAAAGGAATCCTACAGCGCAGATGAGGCAAACTCTCTAAAGCACTGGAACAACTGACATGGCGACGATGTGATGGGCCGTGAACACTTTCCACAGCGGAATCTGCCAATATGCAACGACGACCAGGTCATAAAGAAAGTATGCGATTGCTATGGTTGCCACCATGTGAGAAGAAGGACACACCACTAGGACATTGTCTCGAGTCACGTACACCATGAGAAGAACGCGCGCGCGAGGTCAACAGAGTGCAGTGGGCGGAGTGACGAGTCCCATGTCTGCTGCGTCAAGCTGTACACGATTCCGATGCAGATCACTGCGGCATGCATTGTCGACCCGACTCTATGGATGCAGCCTTGATGTAGAACGAAGATCGTACACGGACGACGACGTACCTCGAGCACCAATTCGCACGTTCCACGGTGGTGTATCCCTTGTAGATCGTCACGTGGCGGAGGGACACAACATGCGTCAACCAAAATACGACGGCAAACACGACCAAGCTCATCCCCGTGACTCCATATGTGAGGAAGACGAGCGATGGACCGACCGAGGGAGCGGCTGCAGGGGTTGCTCCAAGTGCGTCCATGGCAGCGAATCTCCCACACAGTTCGAAAATCACACAACATAGATGGGCCAAATAGAGTGGGAGTTATCCCAATAGCTCTGACCACTATAGAACCGCCAAGTCACGGTCACAAAAGGTGGTGAAATTCACAAAAGGCGACCGATCGGGCCAAACGTTCCCGAATTTGCCCCATTGCGACACCATGGGTGGCTCTGCCGTCATTTCAATACAAAACCCTAGTTGATGACGTGGCAGCCCACATGGCGCCAAGCTCCCACATGTGTGCAACTCCAAGCACATCACGACACGACCATGACAATGGCGTGGGGGCGTACATGTGGGAAAGCGACTGCACATCGAGCAAGAGTGGCTGGCTTGGTTCCACGCAAATACCACAGAGTACAAACGACTACCATGGTTGGCTTCGCATGTTACTCGCTGAGGTGAGCGTCGGGCGTTTTAATCCACTTAGAGGCGCAACTTGGCCATGTCCAAGTTCAAGCTGTTGAGTTTCCACGTGACAACGCGGCCGTCCAGCCCGGACGTCGAAAACTCAGTCACGTGTCCGTTCGGAGACGCTTTCAACACTTGGATGCTCGTGATCGTGTTCTCGTGTTTCCTGTGGTCGCACGATAAAAAATCTCGAATCGCGGCCGAATCGTCGAGTAAGTACGTACGTCCAAAGTGCTCCCTTGTCGCCCGAAGTTGCCTCCGCCGACTGACCGCGGTTCACTTTGCTGTCCCAGAGTTTGCGCACTGCCACATCGCCACTCTCGTTGAGTTTGTTGCCAACGGATGATGAATCTTTTTTCGTACCGTTGTTAAACTCGCTGTTGTCTGCCTTGGCGGCCGTGCCGGCCGAGCTCTTCTTGTCCAGTAGCTCGGAGAACGACCAAAAGCCTTGTGCCGACGTCGTGAAGAGGAGCAGGTTGAAGTCATGGCCACACCCGACGACCGCATCGTTCGATAGGAACAGCAATCGGGTCAACGGCAGATGCGAGAAGCGAATAGTCTACGCGCGACGACCATCGATGTAAACAGGACAATCATGCCAGGCAAACCGATTCAACAAGAACACCGGCGGCATCATTCAACATCAGCCAAACACGGATGAAACCACTCCACCGTGTAGAGTTTCTACATCGAGATGGCCATGGGGACCAAAGCAAATACATTCATCAAGACTCGGCATGCCGGCAAAGCCATATGCGTTCAAAAAGCACAAGACTGACAGTGACAAACACTGTCGGCACACTGACAGGCCACAAGCACTTGAACACTCCACCTGCAGCTTGGGCGCTTCGCCGGGTCGTCCGAATTGAACAAAGTGAATCGACGATCCATGGCCGGCAAATGCCAAGCGAGTGCCCGATGGTGACCACACCGCGGCGTTCACCCACGCATTGGCGTTGTCAAATTCCGCCATGACTTCTCCAAACGGCGCCATAGCTGCGAACGGACCGGCGTCCGGCGAACCATCGACGTCCGAAATGTACGCGGCAAAGACTCGGCATTGCATATCCGTGGACGCAGTCAACAGGAGTTGCGAGTTGGGATGCCAGTCCACGTCAACGACACTATCGTACGGTGAGGAAACATGCATGGAGATGAGTGAGTGTGAAGATGAGCATACGTGGACTTGTGCTTCTTGATCACTTTACTGATCCACCAGTTGTCGGCCTGCACATAATAGCAGACCGACACACACTTCGCGCTGCTTCCGACAGCAAACTTCTTACCTACAGTGGGTTATGGGCGACGGACAGCGTGTCAATGCATGACGCGATGGACGTACCATCGGGACTCCACTTGACCGTCATAGCGGCGCGGGTGATGCGAAGCACCACAAGGGACGGTTTCCACTTGCGTTCACTAGGCTCGTACTTCCATACGAACGCAGATCGGTCGTGCGAGCACGACACAAGCATATCGTGTACGGGGGACCAATCCAACCCACTCACGACCATATCGTGCTACGCACGAAACCAATGCAGCCAACTCGAAAGGATCTCAAAACTGCGTACGACCTACCTCCGTCAAGACAGCTTCTTTGCGCCACTGCGACGCGTCCGGTGCGTGGCAGTTCGAATAGATCCAGATTTCATTTGTGTTGGGGCAGATGGCCACCTTTGAGCGGTCTTGGTTCCATGCATGACACGTGATGCTGTCCGTCAGGTTGAACACGCTCATGGTCGGGCCGTCAAACCAATATGGGGGGCTGATCTTCTTGCCAATGCCGGATAAAACGACCGGATAAATCGTTGTAACGCTCCCACCGAACCCCCGAAACCCCATGTCAACGATCTGGTTGTGCATGCGTCCGATGGAGAAACCAGGTTCATGAACGCGAAGTTACATTGCTACAAGCGCGACGACGATCAAGCTGGGGTGAAGCGTTTGCGGGCTTGAGCTCGACAGCTTACTGTCTCGGCCTAGAAGGTGACCTGACGATCGTTCCACACTAAGGTGTTCGCGCCAGCGTGAAAGAGTCGGTAATTTTACATGCACGATATTTGACACAGCGACGGGATCTGCGTCCAAGGCAGTCTCTGCGACAACATTGGGAAGGAGGTCGCCTGCATTCACAGTCGATTTGATGGGCCCAGACGGCGGGGTGTAGTAAAGTTCTTGAGATGAGGTGGCAACCAAAACGGTGCTTGCAAGAACTTGTAAAAGCACTAGCACGTCTTGGTTTCGATCCAAGGACGTTTGGGTTATGGGCCCAATCAGCCTCCTCTGCGCCAAAGTGCTTTCAGTATCTGCGTCATTGCAACATGCTGGATCCAAAATCGCCCCCCAACCTCAAGTTCATTACCTCTGGTTCAATTCACTCCGCTTTACATGCTTGAGATTTCTACGGATGGCCCGACCACGATCCCACCCCACCCGTCGCACGAGTCTTCGCTGAATACTCTTTCAAACCACCACGCGAATGCGTTTGGAGGGGATGCTCGAACAGTTTCGATCTTGCGTTCAAGTTCAGGAAGCAGTCGTCGCCATGCTCTGTGTCGCTTCGCGAACGGGGTATCTCGATGCACACCTTTCAAATGTTGCTTGTGCCCGTACGATGTGCGTGTTTCGCGCCCCCTACGCAGCGCTACTGTACACGACGCAGGCATGTTCCATGCGCTGGGTATCCAACGCGATTCGCATTTGCCCCTCCCACTCCGAATTACCGCAACATCAAACTTTCGGTGCACAAGGGCCAGGCCAACACGGCAATGGTTTAGCCAGCATCGATCTGCCACGATCTATTATTCGTTCTTATGTCGAAGGCCACCACAGCACACACGACCCATGTCCATCGTCATGGGTGGCTCCTCGCATCGCCCCCGCGCCAGTTGTATTGGCGCAAGCCGTACGATCACGGCTCTAGTTGGATCAATGCATACACGCATTCCTTTCATATGATTGGCTATAATTGTGGCTGACTTTCAATCGACGCTTCGGATTGGCTATTTCAGATCGCATCCACAACGCGTTGATCGCGTAATCGTGGCAACCGAATCTTTCCGTGACCAATCAGATCGCGCATTTCAACCCACCAACGGCCATGGTTGGGGCAAACCTTGGACGCAAGAGTGTCGGGCGGGACAAACTCAAACTGTCCGACATGGAGTTTGGTGCGAGCATGGGGTGCCCGTCCACGCATCTTGCGACTTGCTCCACGCTGGGCGCGACTGGATCGCTCGAACTCGCTGCAACATGACGGATCCGTCGTCGGTGGGAACACGAGTGTGGCCAGTGTGTCGTAAGTTGTCGTATTCCACTGTTTCTTCTCCACTTACAAACTTCAAGTGAATTTGGTCTGCCATTGTCTGGAATTCACTGGAATTTCAAATAAAATACAACTTTTCGTGCGAAACAACGTCGGGGCAAACCAGACGTCTGATGCGAGACACAGATGTGCGTCGGTGCCGTGGGCCACGGCGGCCATCATTTTCCTTTTCACCCTTCCGAGCTTTCCCTTTCTCAGCCACGTTTTATGATGCTTGCCACCTTATCGTCGTCGATACGTAAGCAGGCCACGTCGTCATCGGCCGCCGCCTTGACCACGTGCCCTTGTTCGCCAGCCGTCGATGGCACTGCCGCCGCGTGCTGCCCATCGCCGACGTCTATTGATAGCGTGTGCTGCGCGTTGACGTCTTCGTCTGAGTTCACCAAGACACGCGCTTTGCCCAACGCCACGTCATCGGACCTCCGCATGCATTCGATTGCAATTCCTCCTTCAGTTGCCAACGTCGACTACCTCGATGCATCGCTCCCGTACGTCGCTGTGTTCCAGGAGCAGATGGGCACAACAAAGGTAGCCCGCGGCCCGAATTCGGCCTACTACACGCTCACCGAGTCTGGCCAAGCGGGGCTAGAGCACGCTACGAACGAACTCCATCAAATGTTCATGCACGCAGCGCAGTACGTGCTCGACCACGAAGCCGATTTGGCGCCGCTGTTCCACTTCCCTGCGTCGCTCTGGCCCAAGATCCGACAGTCGTGGGCAACTCGCGCCGACGACGTTGTGTCGGCACGATTTGACTTTGCTCTCACTCCCACCGGCATCAAAACGTACGAGTACAATGCTGACTCGGCCTCGTGCTTGTTTGAGTGCGGCCACAGTCAGGACAAGTGGGCCGCCACCGTCGGTCTCGGTGGTCGCAGCAACAGCGACACGTTGTTCACACAACTAGTCGCCGCCTGGACATCGAAGAAGGTCGTGGGTGACCTCCATTTGCTCTGCGACGACGATCTCGAAGAGAGATATCACTCTTTGTACATGCAAGCTGCAGCCGAGGCCGCTGGCATTACGTGCCACTTGATCGTCGGCATCGATTCCATTACGTTTGACGGACAAGATTTCCGCGACGCGAACGGCACCGCGATTCGAAATGTGTGGAAGACGTGGTCGTGGGAAACAGTGCTCAAGCAGTACAAGGCCGCCGCCCCCGACGCAGGGCCAACACCAGGGACCTTGTCGCTGAAGCGCCCGCTGTCGCCTACAGCCGACGCCACGTCTGCACCCTCCAAAGTGAAGCTGGACGATGGTCGCGCCGTGTCGTCGGGGTCTCACCCCCGTGTGCAAGTCATGGATATTCTCCTCAACGATTCCATGCGTGTGTTTGAACCGCTGTGGACGCTCCTGCCCAGTTCCAAGGCGATTTTGCCCGTCCTGACCAAGCTGTACCCGGCCCACCCGTATCTACTGGCCTCGACATTTGACGAGGTCGACGTGTCGACGTTGTTTCCCAATGGGTACTGCGCCAAGCCAGTCATGGGCCGCACGGGCGCCAACGTATCCATCTACAACGACCGCCATGAGCTCATCAGCGCGACTGGCGGCGCGTGGGATAAGGATAACATTTTGTTCCAAGAGCTCGCGCTCCTCCCCAAGTACGAAGAAAAGTACGTTCAAGTCAACTGCTGGGCGATCGACGGTCGCTACGGTGGCACGATCTTGCGCGTCGACGAGTCCAACATCATCGGCGGCAGCTCCGGCATGTACGCAATGCGAGTTGTCCCCGACGACGCTGCCAACGCCAAGCCTATCGCCATGTAGACGAGATATTTTATAGCCATACCCATATTTAAGTCAACAAGTCATTCTCTCATACGCAAGTGGGTTCGCGCCATGCATTGGGGCTGCCTCCATGAGCAAGGACTTTCCTAGTCAAGAGGTTGTAGGGTCTCCACCACGCTCGCAGTCATCCATGGCGTCTGAGTTGGAGCGTGTTCAAGACCATGGTTCGAGGAGCCCGGAAATGGTAGCAACAGCGCGTGGGTGTCCATTGTAGTGCTACGTTTGCCACAAGCAGCCTGCGCATTTCGTTTAGATGGTGCAAACTTCAACTGCGCGCAACTGCATTCTTGAACAAGTACGTCGCGGAGAAGCTGGGGTTCCAGTTTACACAAGCAAGGAGCTAACGCACGTCACGGCATTTCATTTCGAGCGTCGACAAACTTGGACAGATGTACAAGGGCGGAGGCGAACTTGGGCAAAAAAGAGAGATAATAATATTGTAGATTCAGCCTAAAATCGAAATTTCCTGCAAATTGTACAAAACACGCTCCAACTCACGTCCAATCGAATTACAGCACCTGCAGTGTGCAATTCGTCATGTTGCAAGGAATAGTGCTCCAGAACCACGCGTCCGCCGACACCAGGATACACTGCTTGTATGGACATTTCATGTTGGGCTTGTCTAAGTCATACTTGGCATATGTGTATGGCAAAGCACCATCGACCATATCGCGTTGGATTAAGCAGTACACTCATAATGGGTCGACTGAGAGGCTGGAATCGTCCGCCAAGTTCCGGAAGTTCGACACAGCCAAACGAGAATGGATCCTACAGCTTTATCGTGAGGACCCCTTGCTCTATCTGGCAGAAGCAGCAGCGAGGTTCAGTGCCCACTTTTCAACATCAATCAGTTCATCAACTCTTTGGACCATCTTGCAGAATGCTGCTGGCATGTGTTGGAAAGCGTCGAGGAGCGAGTGATAGAAAACGTCTGAAACACACCAATGAAATCGTTCTGGACAAGTATTTTGAAGTTTGTATTGCGCCGATTGTGCGTGAGAAATTCTGCGTGAGAATTATTGGCGCACCATTTCCATTTTCAACTGACGCTACAATAAAGAAACAGGTTTCTTTCTTCACCATATACCGTGACTTTGTCACCTCAACTAAAAGTTTAGGCCGCGTCTGGATGCCACGCCATAAAAATATCAATAGTATGAGGAAAATCTGCAAATGCTCTTGGAAAAAGCCGTTCCATCTCATGTTTACAGAGGCCAATGTCTTGATAATGATTGAAATGAAAAATCCATCGATGGCAACCATCTCCAAAATCGCGCCGAGTATCATCTCTCATCGCGTACGTTGCGATCGCATCAAACACCTCGTTGGGATCGATGTTGCCCGCAGGAAAATCCGTGTTCGGTCGAATGACAAGCAAGGGATCTTCATCAGTTCGATTCAACTCTTCTTCCAAGATCTTCGTTTGTTCGTCAGTCAATCCAATCAATCTTTGAGTCAATTTGGCCGCGTTGACAGGAAGAAAGTGTGGATCGGACGAAGCATCCGCTACTTTTGTCCTCTTGCATGATTTGTGCGTCGCTTTCGCGTGTTTTCGCTTCTTATGACTAAGGGAGTTGTTAGCCGATCCGTGGTAACATATACAAGTGTTGTCTTACGTTCCACAATGCCACCACGTCTTCTTGTCTCCATGTCCTTTTCGTACAATAACGTTCTTATGAAGAGCCAACATCTCCTTTTCGATTTACCTGTGAAATGTAATAACTACCTATGAAATATGCTGCTTCTGGTTCGAGAGATGGTATATATTATGTAATAGAATGAGATGTTCGATTGGTGTAGAGATTGGTGTAGTCAAACTGTATCCTTTTTTGAATGATGCATGGTTTTATCAGCAAAATGTATGAAGTGTATGGTGTGTAGGGTTATTACTATATTATTGAAGTAATATATATAAACGTAGTGATTTGAAATATCTTAGTAACTATTGAAAAAACAAACGAGATTCCGTAAGTAATGACGAGGGAAAATGGAAAATAGATTATAGATAATTCTATATACATATTTTTAAATATCTGAAAAATGTTAAATCATTTACCAAAAAAGGTGATGTTGATTTAGCTATTTTTAGTTTACATTTAGCTGGCATTTCTTCATTATTTGGTTCTATAAATCTTATAACAACTAGAAGTATATATAATACGAGATCATCTGGCTCATCTTTAAATCAGTGAAAAATTTGACCCATAACATCATCTATAAATACTGAAAACGTATTGTTTAAATTTATAGATAATCTAAACAAGTTCTATAGACATTAGTAATATAATATGAGATCACCTGGCTGATCTTTAAATAAGTGAAAAATTTGACCCATAACATCATCTATAAATACTGAAAAAGTATTGTTTAAATTTATAGATAATCTAAACAAGTTCTATAGACATTAGTAATACTATATATACATATATATAGGAGGTGACAAAGTCACGGTATATGGTGAAGAAAGAAACCTGTTTCTTTATTATTATCTCTCTTTTTTGCCCAAGTTCGCCTCCGCCCATGTACATCTGTCCAAGTTTGTCGACGCTCGAAATGAAATGCACGAGTGCACCCGTACGCAGCGTTGAGTAAAACCTCCATAATTTCATTGCATACAGTAGCAACGAAATAGATTATTGATTTGCATAGAGTATAAGTAAAAAGGAAAATTATGGGCTTGTTTCAATTCAAGGAGCAGATATAGGTCATACAGTTTAAAAGTAAATTCTTCTCAAGAGTGTTTATACATTTTCGGAGCCTTGAAATAGCATGTGGAATAGATGACGTAGAAACAGTCAAATGGCCCGCGCTCCCAGTAGCCTTTGGGACCGCCCTCGGGCCTCGTCCATTGGTTTTGTGGGCCGGATACCTGCAGCACACCTTGGCCTTGGTATTCTGATGAGTCCTTGAACAAATGGCACTCATACATGGGCAGTGGTCAATCAACATAAGGTTAGATTCAGCCTTCTTTTCGA